CAAAACTCTGGGGCACCCTAGTGATGGGGGCCAGCTGAGTCCCCACCCTGCTCAGGCCCCTGCAGCTGCACCTACACCCCACCACTGCAGCCATACCAAGGGCTCAACTACATAGTTTCACTAGTACTCTCTTGTAGAGACACCAAATTGAAAATTTTAAGGTACCCCAGCATCCAGGCTGAGAACTCTGGAATCCTCAGAGTGGAGGCAGGTAGCCTCCCCCTAGCCCCTTTACCTCCAGAAGCCCCCAAAGCCACACTCACCTCCCACACCAGCCACCACGTCAACTCATTGGCCCAAATCATGGGTCCTGAAGTCTCTGGACCTCCAAATACCTCAATACTGAAATTCCAAATGGAGCATACCAAATTAGATGGAAAAGTAACATAGAAGCTGACTAAACTCAACAAGCAAAAACAATAACACAGAAGACTTAACTAGCAGCAAACAGCTTAGTAAATCCTTAGACAAGGATTTAACAACCCCATGATGTGATATAATAATTTTGACATAAAGTCATTTTTTTTCATTTTTTTCCCTTTATTTTATTATTATTTTTTTTACAGTTGTAGATTTACAATTTTTTGTGCTTGGGTTTCAATTATACAATGATCAGATACCCATCCCTCCACCAGTGCCCATTTTTCACCACCATGGATAATATCCCTCCCACCCCCATCCCCCCAACCCCCCTGTCTCTGTGGCAGGGCAATCCCCTGTGTTCTCTCTCTCCTTTTGGGTGTTGTGGTCTGCAAAAGAGGCATTGAGTGGCAAACATGTTCAGTCCATAGTCTACTTTCGACATGCATCTCCCCTCCTGGGAGGATCCTCCAAACATCCTTTATTTGGTGCTCCCTACTCTATCTGAACTGCCCTTTCCTCTAGGATACCCGGCTGGCCTCTAAGCTATGAACAGCTCCAATTCCAAACAGGTACAGCCCGCCCCCAAGGGCCTGGGACCGTCTCTGGGCATGTGCAGCTAGATCCAACCCCTAGAAAGCCGGTTTTCAACCCCTGAGCTGCGCGGGACAGGCACAGCTCTGGGCTACAATAAAAAGTCATTTCTAAACTTATCGATTTTAATCTTGGAGCTTTGTTATCTAATCAATTTCTACTCTAGAATTGTATTAACAGTTGCCTTTTGGCTACATTTTAAAAGTGAATTAATTAAAAAATTAGAAAATAAGTCAAACTATCATTATTTTAGGTGATATAATATATGATCCTAAACACTCCATAAACAAACAAAAAATCCATAAGCAATAAACGAATATCGTGAAGTGATAGGCTATGAAGTCAATACACAAAAACAGGGTTGTGTTTCTAGATGCAAACAATGAATGAGAAAAAAAATGAAACCAATGCCATGGGCCAGAGTGATAGTACAGCAGGTAAGGTGTTTGCCTTGCACACGGCCGACCCGAGTTTGATTCCCGGCATCCCATATGGTCTCCCCAGCACTTCCAGGAGTAATTCCTGAGTGCAGAGCCAGGAGTAACCCTTGGGCATTGTTGGGTGTGACCCAAAAAGCAAAATAAAATAAAATAAAAACAATGCCATTTATAATTGCATCAAAAGAATCAAGTACTTACAAATGTACTTGAAGGAGATAAACTATTCACAAAAAACAATGACACTATTAAGAGAAATAAGGCACAAGAAAGTGGTAAAATATTTCCAATTCGTGGTCTGGAAAAATCGACCACTACCACGACCATCCTGTTATTCATCGATTGCCTCGAGCAGGCCCCAGTAACGTCTCCTTCATCCTAGCCCTGAGATTAAATTCAAAGCTCTTTAGGAGAATGAGACCCATCATTGTTACTGGTATTTGGCATATTGGGTACGCCACGGGGAGTTTGCCAGACTCTGTCGTGTGCTGGAAAAATCAACATTATTAAAATGACCATCCAACTCAAAATATAATGCCGGTTCAATGCATTCCCTATCAAAATTCCAATGAAATTTTAAATTTTATTTATTGTTTTGGGGACCACATACAGTGGTTCTCAGGGCTTACTACTAGCTCTCTGCTCAGGCATCACTCCTGGTGGAGATCAGGAGACAATATGGGGTGTTGGGGATTGAAACCAGATTGACTGTGTGCAAGGCAAGCTCCCTACCTGTTGTACTATCTCTCTAGCCCTCCAACGGAGTTTTTCAAGTAGAAAGCACAAATATGACATAAATGTGTAAGGAATCACAATACTCTTCACATCCATTCACACTGAAAAGAATCCTGAGAGAAAAGATGGGAAGTATCATGTTTACTGACTTCAAACACTATCATCAAGCAACAGTCACCAAAGTAGTATAATATAGGAATTTTTTTTTTAAAAAAACCCTCGTATTAGGGGAGTAAAATTGAGAAGAAGAAGAAAACCTTTACAATAAGAATTAAGAGTATATAATGGAAAACCAGAAGTCTCTTCAACAACTGATTTTTGGGAAAACTGATAGTGATACACACACACACAAAAAAAAATAAAATCAGACCACTGCCTCACATCACAGACATTAATGAAAAATGGGTGATGGACCTGGATTTTTACTCAAATCAGTAAAATGCATTGGAGAAAGCATCAGCAAAACACTTCATATTGGCTTTAGTGGCATCTTTTGTGATTGGACTCTTTTGGCAACAAAAGAAAAACAAATTGGAATATGTCAAATCAAAAAGCTTCTTTACTATGAAAGAAATTTTTACTAAAACAAAAAGACATCCTACTGTGTGGGGAAAAAGAATTTTTACCATATATATCTGAAAAGAGGCTAATATCCAAGATACACAAAGTACACTGGAAAAAAAAAGCAAACACCCTCAAAAAGTAGAGAAAAGAAATAAGGGTCAGAGAGATAGTATGGGAGTAGGGCACTTGCAAGTGGCTTGAAATCTGGCACCACACATGGTCCCCTGAGCACTGCCAGGAACAATCCCTAAACCTTAAGTCTTCACCACTGCTGGGTGTGGTCAAAAAAAGGAGGGGCGGGGGAGTGTGGATAAGAGGAATGATCAGATACTTTGCCAAAGACAGATGGCCAACAGACATGCTCAATATCAGGGTCTGCAAATCAAATGGCAGTGAGCTATCGCCTCATACTAGTGAATGGCCTATATCAATACAGTCAGACATAAGACTGGTGATAGTGTGGAGAAAAAGGAAACCTTGGTCACTGTTGGTGGGAATGTAAACTGGCACAGCATCAAAGGACAGCAATGTGGAAGAGTTTTTAAAATGCTAAGACTAGAAAAGTCAAGGCCTAGAAACAACCCAAGGGTCCAACGACAGACGAGTGAATAAAGAAGGTGTGGTGTGTATATGTATGTGGTGTATATGTATGCAATGGAGTACTATCCAGCTATGAGAAGGAAAACACAGTTTTGCCTTTTGCTATAACGTGAATGTAACTGGAGGGGGTCAGGTTAAATAAGTCAGAGGGAGAAAGACAAATACTCAATGATCTCACATGCGGTTTATAAGGAAGTAAGGCAGGAGAATAGACAGTGTCCAACAAAAACAAACCCAGGTCTAATCACTGGACTGAAGTTACCTAAGAAAGTGAAGAGTTGTTAGTTGAGAATGTCCTATCAACTCTGGTGGAGGAATATTAGCACTTTGTTGGTGGTTGAGGTGTGTTGATGCTGTACCCTAAAATACACATCTACACTCCTGTAAACTAAAGTTATATCAATTAAAACCAAAATCATTCTTCTCAAGGAGCACAAGGAAGTAAGGAGCAAATGAACTCACTATATAAATCAAATGAAGATGGTGGTCATCTGTCTTTGGAGAAGTGTCTGATCATTCCTTCTAACCACACTTCCTCCCCCCCCCCCCTTTTTTTTTTGGCCACACTTGGCAGTGCTCAAGACTTACTCCTGGATCTGGGTTTAGGGACTGTTCCTGAAGGTGCTCAGAGGACCATGTGTGGTGCCAGGGATCAAATGAAGACAAATGAACTCACTACACAAAACTAAATGATTATCAATAAAAATTTAGTAACTGCATTGGAAATGAATCATTATATGAGATCTTTTGTAACTGCATTTACACAAATTGGAGTACAAAAGTATGTGCCCCCAAAATGATGGCTGGAATTTTCCACTTGTTTGTATTCTATACAAATAGTTGTGGCTGATGTTTATTTTAGTAAATTTCTCTCGCGTGTGCTCCTAAATTTGTTCACAAATTTTCCCAAGCTTAAGTCTTTTCCTTCCGTTTTTTTTTTCCTAAGCAATGCTAAAACATTTTTTCTTCTCCATTTGCTCATAAATCAAGCAGTACATTTTCTTGGTTGTTTTTTATTTTTTCCCTTTTAGCTACATGTTGCCGTTCTGAATTTTCCTTCTCCTAAAGCACAGGATGAGATTCCAGGTATTTTCATGCTACAGCTTTTATAACGAGGTTCACTTAGGACATGCAGGTGGAGATTATTCAAGGGGCTAAAAACTTCTTCACCCATATTTCTCAGAAAATGGCACAGGATGTGGGAAGAGGCCAGGGAGCCGCTGGGCCTTCTCTTGCTGGAGTCAGATCCCTTTGGAAAAAAGGGCTTAGGAGGCCACATGGCTTAAAAAACATGTAGGGCAAGGAAAGGGGACTTCTGTCTCTTCTTTGGCCAGCCAACACTGTTATATGAGCGCCTTTCATTTCCAGGTACTCGCAAATCACTCACATCCCAACTCTGCTAAGACAGAGATTGTCATGTCCCCTTTCAAGACAGAGCCCTTGGGAGAAGAATGAGTCACACATGCAAGGTCACCAGGCTGGTAAGAGGCAAATCCAGGACTCACCCCTGCTGTGGTTAGCAATCAGGGCAGCTATCCTTGAGACCAGATAATGAGGAAGGCTCCAAGGTGGCATCCTGAGTCCTCAAGTATGACTTCAACAAAACTGTATACACACAGAGTCCTATACTCTGTGAGTCGGGGTGTCTCTATGGAGCTGGCCCTGTGGTGGTGACTCTGGAGATGAAGCCTGCTGAGGAAGGAAACGTACCTGAATTGGATCCTGCGTCAGTCTCATGGGCCCAATGCGCACCTCCGAAGAAGAAACCTGCTAAGAAAAGAACAACACACAGGTGAAACCCCAGGAACAGGCTGAAGCTTCCTCCCTTGGGGCGCTACTGTAAGCCTCTGATGGTCTGGTGGGTTAGTAGGGAGACGGGTTACAAAACACCACGTGCAATACCATTCTAGTTTTCTGAAAGAATACAAATGCTGAGATGCATCAGAAATGCATCTCAGGAGAGAGTAGGGTACTTGACTTGCACACCACCAACCTGGGCTCTGGCAACTCATGGTCCCCTGAGCACCACCAGGAGTGATCCCGAATTAAGAGCCAGACCCTGATATGCTTCTGTATCACACCCCCACCTTTCAAAAAAAAAAAAGGCTCCAAGGCTCTGTTCCTAAATGCTCAGTGGTGGTATTTGGTTTTTTTTTTTTAACAGCATAGACCTTGATAATAAACATGTACTATTTTATAGATGAAACAGAAATTTTAGAGAAATAAATATCTCAACCATGGAAGCTAAAGTAGTTTCTATGGTTTAAGAGTGGGCCCCATATTAAGACCACATTTTTCTTCATGCTTGCATCTGAAGAATAACTTGAAGAATTCTCATACCCATGTTTACCATGAATAAATGGGGAAAAGGGGTCTCAGGTTTAGCTCCTTAAACAGAGTGCCACCCACCAAAACCACAGAAGAGACTTTACATTGGCCCATAACTACAGAAATGAGCTCAAACATTCACCTCAAACACCGTTGGCAGTGGCCATACAAAAATGGGTCCCGTCCTCCCCTCAGCAAAACAAACTTTTAATAGGTACTACAAAGTGAGGCAAATGCCCATTTATCAGGTTTCTTTCAGAAACAAATATTAACAATCAGCTTCATTATTCTGTAATCACTGCCTCTGATTATATTTACTGTAAGTGCACTTTCTGTATGTGCAAGGCACGGTTATTAAGATATTTTAACAGCACCTTTTCACGCACATTATGTTTTTAAAACTTCTCTCTCGGGGCTAAAGCAATAGCACAGCGGTAGAGCATTTGCCTTGCAAGCAGCAAACCCGGGTTTGATTCCCAGCATCCTATATGGTCCCCGAGCACTGCCAGGAGTAATTCCTGAGTTCAGGAGTCAGGGGTAACCCTTGTGCAATGCCAGGTGTGACCCAAAAAAGAAAAAAAAAACCCAAAACAAGAAAAACAAAAATAACTTCTCTCTCTTCACAAACATAAAAAAAGCATATGACTGTAAAACCGGACTCTCTACATAGTAAAGGGGTCTTTTCCTGGATTTCTAAAACCTTCACCCTAGACCAGAGGTTCCCAAACTGACTTGGCTGACTGCCCCCCTTTTCAGAAAAAGGATTATTCAGTGCTCCTGTGGAAGGGGGCTCATAATTGAATGAGTTAATTAACACATACTGCAGCACAGGTATCGATGTGTGGATTGAACAAATAGAAAGTATTCCCCCAACTGCACTTGAGGCTTTGACCAACCCTTCATTTCTCAGCATCCTGCAAGGACAGCATCGCCTGCTTTGTGAAACCCTGCTAGGAAACAGGACTCCAGCTCCATGGATGCTCTCCAACGCCCAGGATGTTCTCTGCTCAGCCTGCAGCCGCATTCCCAGTGCCTGGACATTTACCCTGCAATCACCCGCTCTAATCTGGCCCGTCTCTCTCCACAGACAGTCTCTGACAAGCCTCAGAAGCCACCAAACCAGACACTCCATGATCACCTAGGGACCCAAGGCTGAAGAAATTTCTTTAAGTCACACTTTGGAAGATCCTAAAAAAAATGTTCCCTTGGGGGCCCAAGAAATAATTTCCTACACTAGAGTGCTTGCTTTGCACATCGGTGACCTGGCTTCACTCCTTAGCACTCCTTAGGTCTTCCGAGCAAAACAACCTGGAGTATGGAACCAGAAGGAGCCCCTGAACACCCCTGAATGTGACCCCCCAAAACAAAAAAGATTTCTCTTCCCTCCTTTTTCCCATGCATAACTCCAAGTGAGCATGGTATGGAATTTGCTCCCAAACAGAACAAGTCAGCAGCCCTCATCTCTGGGAGACTGAGGTGACCCAATGACCCCCTGATCATCTAATCATCTACATGAAGCAACGATGCTGGGGTGGCTTTAGCCTTCCACTGAACCCACTAGCTGAAGACTCAGCAGTCTCTGATGGCCACAGGGTTCTCTCGGTTCTGCCTGGGCAGCTCCGGGGCGGAGGGTCCCTGAAGCAGGCCTGGGTACAGCTGACCAGTCCGATGAGCCAAGTGCCTGCTGTGCTCCGCCGCTGTCTTCAGGTAAAAACTGCAGAGTCTGGGGAGCTCTTCTCTGCAGGGGTGAGTACTGATGCCAGCGCCTGGAGCAGGGCTCCAAGAAAGCACAAGAGGGATGGGAAGATAACTCTGGTGGAGGACCCAGGTCCGTGTATCGCCATGGACCAATGCCCCACCTACAACAAGGCCGCCTGCTCAGTCACAGACAGCTTTGACCGCTGGGTGACTGCAGGCCACTTGCAAGCTGGGTGGACCCTCCGGCCTCTGTAACAAGCCTGTGATCACAGGAGAAATTTAACCTCTACCTGGGCAAGGTGAGGAGGGGGTCACCCAGAACCTAGTTGGGGGGGGGAGGAGGGGGTTGTGCTAAGCCTGGCAGATGCTCCCCAGGATCTCTCTCCTCTACCTGTGCCTCACCTGTCTCAGCTGCAGGCTCTATGCTGCCACCTCCAGTGCAGGACCCTGTTGCCTGCCAGCTCCCGCTGTCCTGATCACCCCCAGCTTCTCATCTCTCGGCTTGCTCTCCCTTCTCAGTCCCTTCTGCTACTCAATGCACCTTGGCTTCTGTGTCCAAGGGGTCCATGAGCCCCACAAGCTCCCTGACTTCCACCTGTTCTGTGTAGACTCCATGGTCGGCCCGGGATAGCACCGGCAGCGGGAATCTGGAGACAAACTGTCCACAGGCAGGAGTGCCAGTAGCAGGGTTCAACTTGGGACCCCACTATCTCCTTGTCTGCTCACCACCAGTTTGTAACAGAAACGAGAGACCGTTTTCTGATGTCTTGTGGCAAAGCTCTTCTCTCTCTCTCTCTCTCTCTCTCTCTCTCTCTCTCTCTCTAAGAGTGGACTGGGAGTCACTACAGATGCAGATCTTCAATTAGATTAGTGCTGATGCCAGGAAGAGATGGAGTTGGCCAGGCACACAGAATTAAGGAGGGGTGGGCACCTAGGTAACAAAAGTACCAGTGCCTACAAGGAGAGGGACCTGCTTCCTGGCCAGTCTGTGCACACGGAAGCAGCCCAGTGAGACAGGCCTGCTGCACCCCCCTGCAGTTTTAACTGCGCACGTGGACAGATGCAATTTTTGGTGTGTGCAAACCTACGAATCAGGTTTGTAATAGCTGGATCATCTATTCCTATGAAGAGGCTCCTTGGGTGGGGCAAATGTGACTCTGCAGTGTAAACACTTTCACCTCACAGCTGATCAAGTTAGTGGAGAGCCAGGAGGAAACCCTGAGCACCTCTGGGCATGGCCCCAAAGATTAAAACAACAAAAAGTCCTGCTTTTCCCCCATAGCCACCAACTACCTTGAGAGTTTCTACTAATCATAGGGCTAAGAGGGTCAAGCTTTGATTTAGAGAAAAATGAAAATCAAATATTTTGGTATGTGCACTTTCTGGGTGAGAACAGATTCAAGAACAATCACGAAGGCACTGCGAACGAGTGGAGACTCCAGCAGTGAAAGTAGGTGGGGGAAATACACCACCAGGGTCAAGAAAAACACCAATCAACAAAGGCCCGCAGCTTGGCCTCATTTTAGTGGAGAATGAGCGAAGTCCAGGACAAAAACCACAAAAACCAGCGGGCGCAGTGGCAGGGCCGAAGAAAAGGGCTACAGACCCAGGAATGTGGTCAGGGCGCTCTGGCTGGCTAGCTCACTTGTAGCCACTGGAATTTTATTAAATAATCCAGAATCAAGTGTTAGAGCATCCCTTCAACAAGAGGGAAGCAAGAATTCAGGTAAGAAAGTGGTTGACTTCGAAAATCTGCCCTTCTTATCGCGGGGGATGTTACCACCCTGAAAACGAAAACCCCATGGAGACTATCTCCTATTTCACACATATATGGCCAGAGATATGACAGGCGCACAACTGACACCAAACTGAATGTCATCCTTCTAAGAGGAGAAACATGCCAAAACCCCATCTGCACCTCTTTTATTCAGTATAGACTTAGACGTCCTAGATAGTGCAATTAGGCAAGGAAAAAGAAAATGCAAAAATGTTACTATTTGCAAGTAAAGTAAAAGTAAAGGCCCTCCCATTGATCAGTTGATTTGCTCGAGCGGCCCAGTAACGTCTCCATTGGAGACTTTGTTGTTACTGTGTCTGGCATATCGAATACTCTCGGTAGCTTGCCGGGCTCTCCGAGAGGGGCGGAGGAATCGAACTCGGGTCGGCCATGTTGGCCGCTCGTAAGGCGAACGCCCTACCCGCTAGCCCACTATCGCTGAAGCGATAGCACAGCGGTAGGGCGTTTGCCTTGCACACAGCCAACATGGCCGACCCAAGTTCGATTCCTCCACCCCTCTCGGAGAGCCCGGCAAGCTACCGAGAGTATTTCGCCCGCCTGGCAGAGCCTGGCAAGCTCCCCGTGAAGTATTCGATATGCCAGACACAGTAACAACAAAGTCTCCAATGGAGACGTTACTGGGCCCGCTCGAGCACTATTTGTAAATGCTATGATATATCTAAAGAAAACCCCCAGCACTAGGGAGACAGCTTGGTGGTCAGGAAGACCTGTTTTGCCTGAGGGGCCCTGGATTTAACTCCCAGCACAATTTCCTCAACAAAACCCAGCAGAAGAAAATCCTGAAGATGACACCCAAAATCTGACATCACAGGGGTATGGTGCCACCAGTAGGTCAGTCTATGAGGCGAGTGCATCAGCAGCCTGATGGCACCGTCAGACTTTCAGATACCCCAAAATTGCTGCTATGCCTTTGGCCAGACCCAAAAAACTTGGGGCAAAGTTTACC